AATCAGTGGGTGGATTTTTTAAACAAGTGTTAAACTTGTGTGTGCAGGGCGGGGTGTAACTACTGAGACTGACAGTTGTAGTGACAGGAAATCGTAGCTCAGCTAATTCCTGCCTGTGAAAGGACCTTTCCACTGTGATTGTGTTGTTGGTGCTTTCTAAAGCATCTTTCATGAAGCTGTGATGAATAACATGGCCTCATTGATGGCCCCGCCCCTCTGTGAGCCTGGGTCTGCCAGAGGTTTCTACCTGATAAAAGGGAGTTTTTCCTCCCCACTGTTGCCAAGTGCTTGCTCACAGGGAAATGTCCAGTTGTTGGGATTACCTCTGTGTTATTGAAGAATCTTTATCAATCGATATATGATGCTAATGTTTCTGTCTTGGTAAGTAAAGTTCCAGTACTTCCAGTACATAAGTTAGTTGGCATTAACGGTGAGAAGCAGGTATGAGTATCTCCTGCACCTTTATCAGTGCAGCTCGGTAACCAAGCTTCTGAGCTGATAACAGCTCTCTCCACTGCTGTTGAAATGTGGTCCCTTTGGGTCCACAAAAACAGTATGGTAGCAGGTAAAGCTCCAAATCAGCTTTGTCCCTTTTTGGATAAAGTCTGTGGTCGCGAGCGGGTAAATGCGAGTTTTCCTCTAGTATAATTATGAGATTGGAATTTGTGGTTTTGAGTGAATTCTTTTAGATGACAACAAGGACAAAAGATTTATCAAACCATATGTTTCCCCATAATGTCTGATCCTGGCTGTATTTGTGTCCCAGAGTCTGTGTAGAGTTAACTGTGACCAGTGGAACATCGAGCACGCCGCTAACAACGTGGCCTCACACAGTAAATGAAGGCATGATGAGGCTGTTCACTGCAAATGGAGCCTCTGTGCTGGATAAAGATGTTGAACGCAGTTCCTCCCTCTGACCCTTCGAATACTCAGCTTGCCCAATCGTGACTTCCTCCTGAAACACATTATTCAGGCCAACACACAGAATAAAGTCTCTGTGTGTGCAGCTGTGTGTCTGCTTCTCCCACTTCCTAAATCATCACAACTCAATTTTAAAATGTTCACATCCAAAGCTGTGGATGCTTATAATCACAGGCTTGAATGACATGACAGTGCTTCTGCTTTGATGAAACTAAAACGACTAATTCGACTCAGGCGTTGGTGAAGAAAAGTTAAACGTATGTGAATGAATGTTCACCAACGTCGTGCTCATAGGTCGTCTGATTGTTGGCCTTTTCTCTGTAGCATTTCACAGTATAAAGTGCTAATGTTTCCGTTTTGGTGAGTAAAGTTTTATCAGTGTTACTTTTAAAAAGCAGGTACGTTTATCTGTTGCACCTTTATGAATGCAGCAAGGAAGCAACTGCTGCTGCCGATCTGGGGAGGACTGTAAGACGATTTGCAAACATTTTGAACTTTACAGCGAGAAAAAGATTATTCACTAGAAAACTTTGTCGACTGTTGTTAATCAGAGGTGGTTGTCTCAGTAAATTCACCCCGAGTTCAGACTGTGCAGTGCTCAGAGAAAAACCCCGCAAGAGCTACAGCTCGAGACTCTCCAGTCCCAGCATGTTAATGTTAAAGTTCATGGCAGCACAGTTGGAAAAAGACTGATGAAGTCTGGTTTGTTTGAAAGGAGAAACACTTCTCTCAAATAAAAGAACGTGGCAGCACAGCTGAAGGCTGCTTTAGCTGGTTTTGAATAAACTACAAGACTTCTGGAACGATGTCCTCTGGAGATGTTTGTCCATAACGCACAGCAGCACACAGTTTGGCACAAACACCTCACAGCAACTGTCAAGCCTGGTGGAAATGGCCTCGCTTTGAATTGCAGGCTGAAAGCGATGAATCTCAGCAGCGAAAGAATCAAGATGTTGGATTGGCCCAGTCAAGGTTCAAATGTCAGCCTGACTGAAGTGCTGTGCGTTAATGGATGCTCACAGAAAAGTGCACCAAAGTTCCTCCACAGCAGTGAGAGACACAAAGTCATGCAGAAAATCATTGCTTCAACGTAATGCTGCTAAAGGAGGCTCTACAATCACAGGAAGTACTGAGAACTTCAGTGTTGGTGCTCATAATGTTTAATTATCGTTTTGCCTTCACAAACCGCTCCAGCTCATTGGACGAGACGGTTACAAAGTAATAATGGTGTTACTGCCTGTTGTTGTCCCGGCAGCGAGTTCTTCTTTATTTGAGCACATTCATCAGAATCAGAAGTGATGCTAATAATAATGGACTGATACCAACTAACTCTGCGTTTAAAGGTTTCCCAACATGCACAGAACTGCTGAACGTGACATCTTCTCATTGTTTTTGTCAACATGACCAAACTCCCCAAAGCTGCTGAACTTCCTTCTTTCTGTCTCTGTGTCTCCTCCAGAACTCGTCCCCGGACGGTCTGGTTTCCATCCTGAAAAGGAGGAGAGCGTCGCTGGACGGGTTGCCTCCCCCGAGCAACACTACTAACAAACAAAACTCCAAACGCAAAGTTCGCTTCAGTGAGCCGGAGGACGGGAGCGAGCACGGTACGGTTTCTTCTTCTTCTGCAGTTTGTTTCAGATAGAAAAGGAATTGAAAATGTTTCATCATGCTGACGGTGAACTCTGCCACGGAGCATCTGACAGCGTTGGTCGCTTTCTTACAGATGAGGTGGGCGGAGATTCCTGCCTGATCCTGCTGTTGCTGTGCCTCGTTACTGTGGTGATCAGTGTGGGCGGGACTGCGCTCTACTGCACCCTGCTGGACACTTACTCCAACATCTGCACCGACTTCACTCACAATGTCGACTTTTATGTCGTGAACGTGCGGAGGCTCGTGGAAGGGCTCGGCCGCTGGCTGCCCTTTCGGACTTAACACCCTTAACCTGCGTCATCCATCATCCAGACAGGAAGTGCCAACAACGAGCGGCTGAGCGAACATGACGGCGCAGGGACGACATGTTTAACGCTTTGATGACTGAAGAGGCGTTTAAACAAAGATACTTGTGAATAGTGATTAATAACTACACTGGTGCTTGTAGCAACACCGCACGGTAACGTGCTCCCAATTTCACCTCAGAATCAAAACGTGGTGACGTGTGCATGTAAGCGTTTATACTTGTTTACTACGCTCTGTGTGGTTGCCATAGATACCACACGAGAGGGCTCACGTGTCTGTTTATATAAAACAGAAGAAGTTGCGGTGTTTGCTCCGCTCACGTTTGTAGCAGCAACTTTGTAACTTTGGATCAATTTGTCTCATAAGTTCCAGATTTTTGTTGTTTTATTTGTACTTGTGTAGAAAAGCTGTCGCTCAAATCAACAGGATCATGTGTGTGTTTTTAGGATGATCTACCAAATAATGATTTTCCTGCCCGCCCACATTTTATTTCCTATTACCTTTATTCTGCTATCGATAGTATGGAGGACCAAAAATGCCAAAATATAAACCCACATAGAAATAAAAGACAGAGAATGAGTTAATGTGTCCCAAAGCTTCTTTTTGTTCTACATCATCATGCAAATTACTGCAGGAGTGATATTTATCTCAGTGATATCCTGAGTGAAGCAGTGGCATCATCTGCAAACTGCTGCAGAAATGTGAAGTAAAATTCACATCGAAAGGGAATAAAGTTAAAAAAAATACCTCAATGAATGCAAAATTAAATGCAAAGCTAAATATTAAGGAAAGTTATGATTATTATAACAATTATAAGGATCTATGTTTTACTTAATATTTTTCATGATACTTCATACCTTTTTGTTTAAGTTATTATTTTGGTAGGTTTGGTCCTCCACGGTGTACGGGGTAATAGCTGTGCGCTTTCCTCCATTCTTGTGGTTTCTCTTATTGTAATATGACCAGATGAAGATGAAATGTTAGACTGTGCTAGACTAGAACCCTATTCAAAATAATTGCAGCATTTCATAATCCACAGTGATGAAGCTTTAAATGTAGATTGAGGGTTTGAAAGTCTGCAGACTTCTTTGTGGTCATCGCGGTTTGCCATGTGCTGGTTAGGAGCTGCCCCACAATCTCAGGCACTTCCCTGTGTCCATACTTTAGGTGCTCGATGTTCTCATGGTTATGTGTACATGTGTACAAACTGAATCTACTGAAAGAGAGAAAAGGACTGTGTCTGCATCTGGGACCAGATCGAGTTCAAAAACAGGCTTTTATGGAGCAGCAGTTGTGTTTTTTGGCTGGTTCAAGCAACACAACAGAAACACACACCTGTAGACTGTGTTTGTGACTGGAACATGAAAGCATGCTCCTTTTTCATTTCCTTTATATGAACATTTTTATCTTCTCTTTCCTTTCCAACTTCAGATGTTACAAAGTGACAAACGCTGCCTCTGTGTTGTCAGTGTGGATACTGTTTACCAACAAGTGTTGCATTATGCAATCCGCCTTCATGTTTCTATGTGTCTGTTTATTTGTGTCCACAAGGGAACACAAAAGCAATTAACAAACAAACAGCAACCATTGTTTTCTTTTTATGGTTACAACAAACAAACAAAAAATAAAGATTTGTGGTTAATTGTGATTTACGTGGATGTTTATATAGATCTTTGATGGTTTCCCTTTGTGTAATTTCCCTACTTGGCCGCTAGATGTCCCTGTAAACCACAGAATCATCAGCCAATAGGTCCTTCACACACAAACTACTGCAGTGCTACAGGATGAATATGCTATCAGGGCTGATATAGGCTGCAAATGATTCTGTTAGCAACGCAGTCTGAGCTAGCTGTGGTCAGCACTGTTGCCTCACAGCAAGAAGGTCCTGAGTTCAATTCCACCATCAGGCGTGTGGATTCTGTGTGGAGTTTGCGTGTTCTCCCCGGGTACTCTGGCTGCCTCCCACAGTCCAAAGACATGCAGATAGTGGAGTTAGCTTAACTGGAAACACTAAAATCCCCATCGTTATGACTGTGTGTGTGTGTGTGTGTGTACCCTGCCTCTTGCCCTGGGATAGCTGTCCCTGAAAAGGACAAGCGGATGAGAATCGATGGATAGTTTGTAGATGATCGTTCCTTGTTGACATGATTACAGATTAATGCCAAATACTGTGCTGAGGTGTTTGGTAGTGAACTAGTGAAAATAACAGGCAGTCAGCATATCAACAGATGGTCTTTTAAATAAAATGTTCTTTGTGGACGTGGCAGTAGTACAAAGATTGCTTTTCACTTTGCTGCCTCTATTTTTATTACCGTGTTTGGTTTTTGAGGTATGCCAGTTACACAAGACTGAAAATCTGTGCCAACAGGTAAATGAGAAATTGGCAGTTAGTTGAAATAATCATCAGTATGTATGGAGGAGGTCAGAGGTCACCAGGCTCTGTCGTGGTTTGGGGCTGTTTCCACCAGCGGGGTTGGAGATCTTGTCAAACTTTAAAGAAGCATCATAACAGAAAAGTATATATATATTCATATATAGTATAAATACTTAGTACATATCCACCATATAATAACATCTGGGATATTTGATGACTTTTCAGCATGACAATCGTCCCAAACACACGGCCAATGCAGTAAAAGCATATCTGCATAGAAACACAGTCTGTGATGAGCTGGCCTCAGCGTTACTGGAGCAGTGAAGCAGAACAAAACGAACATCCGAGCGTGTGGTTTGGTGGGATTTCAGGAAGTCTGACAGGAGCGAGGAGCTTCCTGGAAGTGACGTGACAGACACACTGTCTGAACTTAGTGAAGTCATGGTGTCGGTTTTATGTAAGCAGTCTTACATTTATAATTAGAGTGTGATATTGTGACTAATAATGTTTGGTGGAGGTTAGAGGAAAGTACTGAAATTCAATTATGACCTAAAGTCTTACATTTGAATCCACAGCAGAAATAAAAAAGCACTTGCAGCAAACACAGTAGCACAAAAATCTACATGTGACACAGAGGTCATTCATGAAGAGCCCAGAGGGGATGATGGAGACACAGGCCCTGCTGCCCTTCCTCATAACCAGCATCCTGATAGCCAGTTAAAAAAAGCATGTTAGGAAAGTTGGTTATCAAGCCAATAGTTTGGAGTTTGGTAGTAAAACTAATATTACTAATATGCTGATATATGCTGACACGCCATCACCTGAACATGGCTGCAGCTAAAGCTTCTAAAAGTGAGCAAAGCTGGTTAGTAGAATAGCAGAAAGCCAGAAGAATAAGATTCTAATGAAGCCTTTATTGAGGACGTTGGTTTCCTGCGCTGTGACATAATTAATTGTTCAGGGTCGTCAGCTGTGCACGATGACTGCGCCAGCAGAAGAAGACGTTTGGCCGCTGCATGTAGCAGGAGCCAAAAAGAGGTGAAGCTCTCGGTGGACCATTACTGTCTGACTACAACTATTAAATCTGAGTAGCAGTGTTTTTATTGAAGGTGGAGCTGCGCCTTGGTAAAGCAAATACACTGCACAGGGATTTCCCACACTTGGCCCACATCACAGCAGTGTGAAGTGAAGCCTGAGTACTTTTCTAATGACGATGAAGGTGTGGTGCTGATGGAGCAAACGCAGTCGCCACATTATAAATGTTATATAGTGAACGTGTGGTGAAAATGTCTATTGATGTCCTGGAGTGAATGTTTGGTTAATTCAGCTTTAGAAACACACACAGCTCATTTCTGCAACATAGTCTGAATTCAGTGCAAAGAGATTTTGCCGCCTTGCAGTGAAGCAGAGACAGATTTACACGATCAATGGATCAGCTGAGCTTAAATACTGCTGAGGAGGCAACGAGAGGTGACTACAAACACTGTTAAGACATTGTTTATATTTGAATTGTTCCTTTTATTTATGACTGAAATAATCCTAAAAAATAAAAATTTAAAAAGTTTGCTGACTTTGCCACAAAACAAGTCTTTGTCCCTGGAATTTCTGGTACCATGTTTCCCGTTTCCCACAGATCATTCACAATTTAAATTAGATTAATAACGAGAGTGGATGGATGGAGCTGGCAGCTCTGAAGTGGAAAAGGAGAATGGTGGTTGGGACAGAGGATGTACCCGTGGAGGTGAGAGGGGAGTGAGTTTGACACAGTTTTGAAGGGTGAGAGGATTCCTGATGAGACAGGAAGTGTCCTGGGACAGATTTTCAGGGAAAAAGCTGAATTGGCTGAACAGGTGCAGCCATAAAGGACTTTGATTCTGTGCACATACAAAAACCTGGATGAGCTGCTCTATCACTGATCTTCTACTTTTAAAATAGATGATAAAGCTTCATTTGAAGTTCAGTTCTTAATTCCCAGTTGAACCCAAATTCCTAATTAATTTGTCCTAATTTAATTTAATGTTATCCTGAAGGTTTTTAGTCAGCGAGCTGACAGAGTTCGTCCTCTCTGGGAGGAAACCCTGGACACTAAATATATACACAACCTGTACTGATCAACGCTCAGACTGTAAAAGCTCAGACGTGTTTTTAGAGGATTTCTTTCTGTAGACTGAGTGCACACTCGCACTGTAGGAGGATTATTAGGAATCATCCACATCTCAAATGTGTCTTTGAGGCCTCCTAACAACACGAAGGGCAGGTGGAAATGCTGATTTGATTTGTTTAGCTCCATTCACTCCGTTTGGTGGTTGGCTGCAGTAACACACACAGCAAAAATACATAAAAACAAGCATACCAGTGTAGAAGGGATAAAGATTTAAAAAGTGAACTTCAGTGTCTCAACTCAGGCCATAAAACACGAGCATGTGCAGCTTAACAGCGTTCAAGTGCTTTTTATGGCCTCAAATACAGCCAGTGAGAGCTGATCCTTCAGGTCTTATTGGAAGTGACTGAAGGAGGAAGGAGCTGCACATTTGAATGCTATTTCTCCCAATTTACTCCAAGTCTTTTTTGGCTTAGATATCCCCCAAAAAACTGTCCATGGACTATTTGTAGCATCCTGAAGCCTGCATGTATGCTTCATAACGAGCTGGTCTGTGCATGCTCAGCATGTGCACACATGAAGCTGACGTGTTAGCACAGCAGAGTCAACCAGGGCCTCACCCTACCACCATCAATATGACACTGAGCCTTCACCCAGCTGAACAAGGACGATTTATGGACGCTCACAAAGGCCAAGCGGCTGAAGCTACAGCTAGCCAGAGCTCAGAGCCTCGGTATGAGCGACGGGTCAAAGCAGTTAAAGAAAAACTGAAAAGAGAAACGAGAATGATGTAATCAGTCTGTTTGGTATGTCAGGTAAAGGTGAGTGTCCAACACCTGGCTCTCATTGAAGAAAATTAAAGAAAAGCCCCCCCCACTTGAGTTAAAGCTCAAAAACATCTGTTTCAGCAGGTCACACTTAGAAAAATGAGAGTTGGTGCAAAAGTATGATGTGACGGGCTGTAAAATGGTGCAGGAGCCTGTTTGAGTACGCGGCATCTCTGCAGGCTGTAGCAGACCCCCCCCACGCTGTACCTGCTGTAACTAGGTCAGCCTTTTCAGCAGCTGTCGCTGTTTCGATCACAGCCAGAGACACAGGCCTTAATGAAACTATCTCATTATGTTGTTTAGACCTCCATCTACTCTGAGTGGAGTATGATGAGTCATCTGTAGGCCTTCATCACTTCCCACTGCTCATTACTCCCTTTGACACCTCATCTCTCCTTCTTCCTCCAGTTCTGTCTCTCTTCCTTCTCCCCTAATATGATTTTGTATTTCTTCAGAAAGGCCTTCCTACTTTTCCTCTCTCCTCTCCCACCTGCCTCTCCTTTCTTAAATCGCTTTTCTTTCATGTCCTATCTCTCGTCATGTCCTTCTCAGTGTACCACTTTCCCTTCATATGTAACTTCCCTATCACTTGCACCAGTTATCTGCATCTGCTCATCTTTCCCCCACAGCGACCTTTAAGTTTCCTTTCTTATCATCTACTCCAACCCTGTTTCCTCCACAGATCTAGGACAGGGCTTATGGCGAGGTCAGCAGCCTCTTCTCAGTACTCAAGCTCCTCTGTAAGAGCCTACATTGTGGTTCATGGTCATCCTCATCCTGGGCAGGAAACCTAAACCAGCCTCCCAGTGTCTGCTGTGTGTTTGCTGTCCACAGCACGTAATCTCTGGCCCTTTGGTGGGAGATGATTTGATGCAGCT